CTGGCCTGGAGCGTGCCGGCCCGGCAGCGCGCCCGCGTCTGGAAGTACGAGGTCACCTACAGCAAGAAGGTACGGCCCAGCCACGCGTGTCACGAGCGCGCAGGTCTCAGCCCGGCCACGCGTGTCGTGCGCGCGTTCTCAGCCTCGTTGCGTGTCACGAGCGTGCCGGTCTCTGCTTGGCCGTGCATGTCATGAGCGCACAGGTCTCAGCCCGGCCACGCGTGTCATGCGCGTGTTCTCAGCCTCGTTGTGTGTCACGAGCGTGCCATTCTCTGCTCGGCCATGCATGTCATGAGCGTGCTGGGCTCAGCCTGGCCATGCATGTCCCTATAGTGCCGTTCTCAGCACGGTCATGCATGTCATGAGCGTGCTGGGCTCAGCCTGGCCATGCATGTCCCTGTAGTGCCGTTCTCAGCACGGTCATGCCTGTCGTGAGCGCGCTGGGCTCAGCCTGGTCACATGTGTCACAAGCGCACCGATCTCAGCCCAGCCATGCACCGCACATGAGTGCCCAGTCATATGCGTTGTGAACACGCCAGTCTCAGCCTGGTCACACGTGTCACAAGCGCACCAGTCTCAGCCCACTAGTGTGCGTGGCAAACACGCCAGTCTCAGCCTGGTCACGCATGTCATGAGTACATCAGTCTCAGGCTGGTCACGCGTGTCACGAGCACATCAGTCTCAGGCCGGTCATGCCTGTTGTGGTCATGATGTTCTCAGCCTGGCCGTCCATTTGTGTCACGAGTGAGTCGGTCTCCACCCATCCACATGCGTTGCTAGCGTGCTGTCCTCAGCCTGGTCCTGCATGTCACGTGTGTGCCAGTCTCAGCCTGGCCATGCGTGTCACGACTGCACCGGTCTCAACCCATACCATGCATCTTGCGAGCATGGTGTTTTCAGCCTGGCTACCCATGTGTGCCCCGAGTGCGCCGTTCTCAGCCCGGCCATGCATGTCACGAGTGCTCCAACCTTGGCCCGGCCACGGCCACCATGAGCGCCCCGGCCTCAACCCAGCCGCCACCCGTGTCACGAGCGCGCCGTTCTCAACCCGTCTCCCTTGGCTCCCCTCAACCTCCAGGCGGACGAGAACAGCTACTCGGTGCTGCGCTGCGAGGACACCTCTGTCACCATCCCCAAGCTGGCGCCGGGGACGGCGTACGTGGTGCGGGTGCAGGCGCTCACCCAGGAGGGCGAGGGCACCTACAGCCCCCAGCACGAGTTTGAGACCCTCCCGGAGGGTGAGTGCGAGCTTTGAGGGGGCAGTTTTAAAAAACCAAAACTCTTTGGGGCTCTTTTTTGGTGGGGAACACGGTGATTCGAGCCCTGGTGCGTCCCCTCGTCCCGCAGGCGCCGAGGGCATGGCCTCCGCCGCTGTCATCAGCGGCTCCATCGCCGGCGTCGTCGTGGTCCTCCTGCTGCTGAGCATCTTCCTCTATGTCTTCTGCAGGTCGGTGCTTTATCTGGGAAAAGAGGTGGGGAAAAACAAAAAATAGTAATAATAAAAAAGGAAAAGGGTGTGTTTTTTTGCAGTGGGATTCGTGCAGCGGGAATCGCGCTCCACTGGGAGCATCCTGCTCATCCTGGCTTTTTATTCCCACAGGAATCGGCACTCGCGAACACGCCAGGCCTCCGAGGACGTCTACTTCTCCAAGTCAGGTGAGTGCTGGACAGACGGATGGACACAGACAGGGACAAGGGGACACGCGCAGGCGGAGGGGACACCCCCCCTGCCGTGTGTCCCCCCATAGAGCAGCTCAAGCCGCTGAAGACCTATGTGGACCCGCACACCTACGAGGACCCCAACCAAGCGGTGCTCAAGTTCACCACCGAGATCCACCCAGCCTTGGTCACCCGCCAGAAGGTCATTGGTGCAGGTGGGTCCAAAAAAGAGAAAAAAACAACAAAAAAAAGGGGAAATATCCCCTCTTGGGGATATTGTGGGCCCATATTCACTCACCGCTCCCCCGGGGCAGGCGAATTCGGCGAGGTCTACAAGGGCACGCTGAAGCGGGGCAAGAAGGAGGTGCCCGTGGCCATCAAGACGCTGAAGGCCGGCTACACGGAGAAGCAGCGCGTGGACTTCCTGAGCGAGGCCGGCATCATGGGCCAGTTCGGCCACCACAACGTCATCCGCCTCGAGGGGGTCGTCTCCAAGAGTGAGCATCCGGCATCCCCCTTCCTTACCCCAAATGCGGGTGAAAACAGAAGAAAAAAAAAAACACCCAAATTGGTGCCTGTGTCAGAGACCTGCAGGAAAAAAAGCAGGGTTTTAACCGGCTGATAAGCTCATTTTTGTGTTTTGTTTTTTCCAGATAAGCCCTTCATGATCATCACAGAGTACATGGAAAATGGTGCACTTGACAAATTCCTGCGGGTAGGCGATGCATGATGGCCGGAAATAAATCCGGATGGGGGGAAGGTTTTGCCATCCCCTGTGATGGCTTTTTTGTTATGTATTTGGGTGCCGGGATTTACCCGGCTTTGGGAAAATGCTTTGCAAGGGGGAATCCAGCCCCGGGAAAGCACTGGAGCGGGTGCAGCTGCTGTGGGAAAATCCCACCAGGATCCATTCCTGTGCTCGGGGCGGCCAGTGGAATCAGTACCCAGAGCTGGGAATGGGTGGGAAAGCTGAGTTTAGACCAGGAACAGGTGGAAAAAACTTGGATTTAGTCTGAGGATGGGAAAAGAGGGATTAAGAAGGTTTCGTGTTTTGCTGCAGGAGAAGGACGGGGAGTTTTGCGTGATCCAGCTGGTGGGAATGCTGCGCGGCATCGCGGCCGGCATGAACTACCTGGCCGGCATGAACTACGTGCACCGGGACCTGGCAGCCCGCAACATCCTGGTCAACAGCAACCTGGTCTGCAAGGTGTCCGACTTCGGGCTGTCGCGGGTGCTGGAGGACGACCCCGAGGCCACCTACACCACCAGCGTGAGTGGGGACAGGGGGACAGGACACGCGGGTGGTGCCGGGTGCCCGGTGCTGAGCGCCG